TGAACAAACTATGTATCAGTAATTCACAAATGAACTCAGACACTCATATATGGTCTTGATAACTCATGAATGAACTTGGTAACTCATGAATGAACTTGACAACTCATGAATGAACTTGATAACTCATGAATGAACTCGACAACCTATAAATTAACTTGGTAACTTGTGAATGAACTTGGTAATAATAAACTCAGTAACTCACACAAGCTCTCAGTTTTTCATTAATGAATTTAGTAACTTCTAAATGAACTGTAAGCACTTGATGTGTGTACTCAGTACCTTATGAGCTTCTATTGGAGCCATGAGTCAATTGAGGAAAACACAGTGGACAGGAAAGGTCAAATTAAAAATATGAAGAAAGCTGCTAGGAATGAGTAATATACAGAAAATTTAGTAGGTAATTGTAGTCCTTGACTAAATACAACCAGATGTTTTAAGCAATGTTTTTTCATGCATGATCAATTTTTTACAAACCTTTTTTCATCTGCTCAGTGAGTTGGTCATACTTCAACAGCTCCTGGAAGTTAGGATGACCGTCTTTCTTAAGTTGTGATAATATACTATGCACTTCAGATATCTCTTTGTTAATTCGGAAATTCAAATCACCACACCAAAAGACATGGTCAAACCTGGTGATCACATCCCCTGAAAACACACAGGTATTAAGTATTATTACTCATCTATAGTAATCATATTTGTGTGAATTGCAGCATCACCTCCGACACATACCACTGTCTTGATGTGAGTTTCTCTGATGACAGTTATTTCATTCTGTTAGGCCACACCGACTTAATTTTATGGATGACATCCGCGTGCGCATTAGTTTTCGCCTGTTCTCAAGAAAAAAAAAATCTACGACGATGAGTCTCCACAGATCGATTTTCTGTCCGAACTTGCCGACTCATATTGTCGCAAAGCGTCGACTTGTCGTAAAACTCGTTTTGGACTACCTCAAAACCAATTTTGTCGTAAATGATCTTCTGCACATGCGTATTGCATTGCCAAGGAATACCAAAAAAAACGGAGGGATTGTTGTAGACTGGAACGCAATTGACGCAATTAAAAGTAGTGATATGTACATTCCGCCTTGACTTAAACTGAAAATGGTGTTCATGCTGTACCTTGAATGCAGTGTTTCTGACTACATGTACTAGCGCTTGTCTGAAATGGTTATACATGTGACAGTAATACAGTACGAGATGTGTATATCAACATGTGCCTCCTACAAATAAAGACTTCTTGTTGTTTTTTTGATACACTGTGTTTTGTGGTTCAATTCGTAATACCAGCTCCATAGTCCTGAGGTTTTAGCAGCATTTATTTTTTTGGCAGGATTTTTTTTTTTCGCCCTCTCACATTAGTTTTGGGGTCTCTAGAGAATGTCATCCATAAAATTAAACCAGTGTGGCCTTATCAAAGCTTACTTCAATATTTCACAGTTACACAAATTTTAAGATTGACATGAATGGCCAAGTAGGTGAACTCATAACACAATACACATAGATGAAGACAGCAAGGTATTTATCTACCTGAAGATAATATATGATCATAAAATTAACTAGAGAAATGACAGGTCACTGATCATTATTAACTACCGCAGCCATTGTCTCATTTAACAATATACACAACCAATATACAATGTATACATATCCCTATATACATGTTCCAGGGCAACTAGCTAAACAAACATATACATGTTCCAGAGCAGTTAGCTAGACACACACACATATGTTCCAGAGCAACTAGCTAGAAAACATATACATGTTCCAGGGCAGCTTGCTAGACATACATACATGTTCTCATTTAATATGGCATCACAGGCAGATCAACAAAAAATTTACATAATTTATTTTACTTTGGCCAGAGCACCAAGAAAAGTACTTCCAATCAATGAGATTGGCTACAACTACAGATTCAAGCATATAAACCAATCACAATCAGATGTGTGTACATTGTACACTTGTCATCAATAGGAACAGTCTGTATTAACTGACCTTTCATGAATCACCTTCAATTCTAAAATCAGCCAATAACAAGACTTGTTTTTCACCAAACTTATTTGTTGCTATAGCTACCAAGGGATAGTGCAATAGTTACCAGGACTTACTTTTTGTTGTGTATTGATTCATAAGTGGTACATTTTTTGGCAGTTGTAGACCAACACATATCTTTTTATAATCCTCCATTCTCTCTTTTACTTTCTCATCATCAGCTGTTTAGAAAAAAACAAATGATTGTAATATACAGTAAGACAACCAAACGTGCTGAATCTATCTCTGACACGGGTGAATGTGAACATTCAAATATTCGTAACACACACTTATATATATATATACATACCGTATATACAGTGAATGTTTAAACATCTGTAGTTATTTTCTGTGTTTTATTCGGGTCATTTTGACAATTGCAATGCTAATCACATTTTTCGCACTGAACTCATTGCACTTAGAAACGTACCAAATTCGTTGTGTTTGGCAATGTTTCTGAGGCTATTTTATCATATTTTGCGAATTTTTACCTTCATATCATATTGCAAAAATATTAAAATAATGATTCAGAGGTATTCTAGATGAATGATAATACGTATTTAAAACAAATGTGTAATTCCCTGAAATGTAGCAGAGACTAATTTTGGGATCCTCAAGCATGCCAGTAATCAGTCAATGGTTTTGGAGAATGGCAAATATAAACAACACTTTCTACACAATAAATCTACAACTGAAAACAAATCTTATGTGAAGGTGGTATAGATAAATGTCCTTGTCAAGAGTTGACTTGGCAAAGACCACACATCCTTCATTACATTAAAGGTATTGCGTAATAACAGGGGGAAGGCTGGAGATTTGGTCAATAATGGGCAAGATGCAGTCAAGACCTTTAAAGTTTTGTAGTGAACATGCCTGTCCAATCCCTGTTATTTAAACAATAATGAATTTTCCACAGCTGTATTATTGGACGAGAATAGTCTATGGCAAGATAATGAGTGGAACGAAATAGACCACATTATCAGCCTAGATACTTCTCCGAACCTAATATGACACTGTTTGGAAATAATTATTGTTGTTATAAGCCATTAGAAATAATACAAAAATTAAATAAAGCTTAGAAAAAACTCCCGTGTGCTGAAGATATTGAAGGCATGAAGTTAGCACACATGCTTCTATTAGAGCAAATACAGCATTTAAAAATATAACTGCAAGCAATGATCTGGGCGATTCCAAGTAGCTATGGTTTAACAATTATAAATATTTAATGAAATAATGACCATATATGATGACTTGATATTTTGGTCATATATCTTGTCAGACAATACAAATATAGCACCAGTTACATGTTCCTATCTGCAACAATTTTTAAGATATTACATTCATATCTCATTGATTTCTCATCGGGGGTTGTGCATTAGTTAGCTAATTAATATGCAAATTAGGTGAATAATATGCACAGATTTTTACTCCAAACTAAACAGGTCTGTGCATAATCCAAGAGCATCTATGTAATTAAGTTTCATCAAAATCCAATTAGTAGTTCTTTAGATATCAGTGGAACAATCATAAAACAGCTAAAAATTAGTTAATTATTATGCAAATTAGGTAATTAATATGCATGGATTTAAACTAAAACCTAATTAAATGTCATGTCATAAAACCTAATTAAATGTCATGTCATAGCCCCCGCTCAGAAAAAAATTTAAAAACTTATAATGAACTTAGTTTGTGTCAGAGTGAATTACATGTAATTCATTATGAGCTGTATTAAAATTCCGTTATTAAATGTTCAGAATTGATGTGTTACGATTTTAGGGGGTGGGGTAAAAATTTATTCATTTGGTTTTTCTGAGACAATTTATAACTTGTTAAACATATAATGCGATGTGCACTTGTAAACAATTATTACCTGTCCCTGTACCAACTTTGAACAAAACTGGATGACACATATCTGAGAAAAAGCTGTTAACAGCTAGAAAAAGCTTGTTTTTTTGAGGGAAAAAATGGCCTACAAGTCTTTATCCAATCAAACAGGTCATGAATGACACTGAAAGTTGCAACATATAATTTGTCCAGTTTTTGGCATGGATGTAAATTGGCAAACATGATTTCTATGGCATTTTCAAGTTTATAGCACTCTCCATCCTGGTCTCAGCAAGAACACCAGAGAACAACAAACAAGTACAACAGGTAAAATGACTTGCAAGTATGCAAATCAGATCTGCAAATATGTTGAAGAGTCAGTGTTGTGTCTGTTTGATTAAACTTCCTTGTACAACTGTATTCCTAATACAAGAACACTGTCAATCACAGAACTGTTCCAGCGAAAAACTTCTGATATTTCAAACAGTAACAGGGCAAAGATACCGTTTGTCATACAAGTACTATCACCAGATGAGGAACTGAGAAACTGCAATGATCCTTGGTGTACATTACCTGTGTCAACAACTTTACTTCCCATGTACTTCATGTACAGATCTACATGTAGTTTGTGGCCCTGAATTAGTTTCAATATCTCTAAATAAGGACAAGAGTACTTCTCATATGACAATGATACAAATAAAGTGCAAGAAAAAAAAGACGACCTGCAAAACTTTATACAATTGTCAGACATGCAGCGAATAGTATGCTTTTGTAATATATGCAGTTTCAGTGGCTTTGCTTTCCGAGAAAAAAATTCTGGCTCTGCACCTGAAAAAAACAAAAAAACATTTAGTCAAAAGTAAGCAGAGGTTGTAGCATACTGGTATATGCTCCCATTAGCTGTTAAATTTAATTAAAAAAGATATTTGTGTACCGTCTTTTCAGTACGAAAACATATTACTTAATATATTTATACCAGCCAGAAAGAAATTGCAAGTTTTCACTGAGCAATTAGGAATATACATCTCGATTTGCGTGTTGTCGTGCGTCGAAAAAATGCATGGAATGGTCAGCAGTATCGATCAAGTTCGTCTAGTGTGACATTCGTGGCTGGCGACAAGATGCCGTATAATCGTTTAAATAGGCGTCAAGGAGGAGTGAAAGGCCCTAATTAGGTTCTACAATAGGCGTCATGAAATGTTGGAAAATTACAGTCAATCAAAAAAACTGTTCACATGACAACAAAAAA